GATAGATAGATAGATAGATAGATAGATAGATAGATAGATAGATAGATAGATTGTTAGATTCATTCTGTAAGTTCTGTTCCTCCAGAGAACTGTAACTAATACAAACAGTTTCAAAAACACTGTTTTTTTTTTTTTACCAATAAAATAAAATATAAAGCTGAAGTGAAGCAAAACATGCCCCAGCAGCGCTGAATGGGCAGCCCATTTCTGTTGGGCTTCATGGTCCGAGTTGATGAGAACAACTGACCAGGTCTCTTCCTCAAGGAACAGGTTCCACTGAGATACAAACTCAGATCGCTGGATTCCAAGTCCAGGGCGTTAACCATTACACCACGGGAGTTGGTGCCAATACATAAAGCTATCTGATTTATAGTAGGGGCCTAATATGATTATCATAACTAAATTATATTATTACTAATAAATCAGGGTTCAGTTATGCTGTGGAACAACCTTTTTTTACCCTGTGAATACGAATTCCTCTCACTGGTTAATGGAAAGCTAACTGCCCAATAGCTAGGCAAGGAAAGGGTAGGTGGTACTTGCAGACAAAAAGAGAGTGCAGGGAAGAAGGGAGCAAAGTCACCAGACAGATGTGGAAGAAGCCAGATGAATATGCCCTACTGAAAAAGATACTGCCACACGGTAGAGCATAGATAAGAAATATGGGTTAATTTAAGTTATAAGAGTTAGTAACAAACCTAAGCTGTCAGCTGAGCATTTATAATTAATGATAAGTCTCTGAGCATTTATTGGGGTGTCAGAAGTCCCTACAAAAAACTCCACCTCCACAGTTATAACCCAAATGCGTCATAACCATAAACTGAGATTTGTCATTTGATCACCTAATTCTATGACTGCCCTGGTTAGGAAACATCAATGTAGACAGCCCTGTGCCATGGCAGTAGCCAATGCCCTATGATACAGCCCGATGCTTACCAGGCCTACAATAGCAATGCCCTGCATCCAAGGAAGGCAAGGGCTGGGTTTAGATAGTAAAGGTTTAGACTAAAGCAGGCCCAACAAAGCAGGCGTTGGGAGTAAGAAGAGATGTAGATCATATTCAACAGAATAAGCCCATGCCCAAGACCCAGGCTAGCTGAATTCAAGTATAAATCACCGGGATTCAATTAGTCTAGGCCTTTCACTATTCAGGGTAGATTGGGCACCCAAAGACAGCTAGTCCCCAGCTTGGACATCTCCAAGACCTTACAGGGAAGACAAGTACTCCCCCTAGGAAGCTACTGACCATCTCCAAACTCAGGCAGCCCTTTAGGAGGCAAAGAACACGACACTTGCGTTCCCAAGTGGTTACCACAGCAGCAGTGAGAAGGGGTGGAGGGAAAGAGCATCTCTTCATCTCGAACATTAACCACCCTGTTCCTCTGCTGGCCTACCACCCTCTGCTGCTCAGTGTCCTAAGACAGAGCTCTTGCTATCCAGAAATGTGTGTGTGTGTGTGTGTGTGTGTGTGTGTGTGTGTGAAGGTGAGTGTGCCCACAAGTGTGTATACATTGAGAGGAGGATAGCAGGTGTCTTCCTTTACTACCTTCTGTCCTATTTCTTTAAGACAAGGCCTCTCATTTTGGCTAGGCTGGCTTGGCCACAGAGCTCCAGGATTCAGGGATCCAACTATGCCCACCCTGGTTTTTCTGAGTCAGGATTTCGCTGTGTAACAGCTCTGACTGGCCTGGAACTCACTCTGTAGACCAGGCTGGGCTGGAACTCACAGAGATCCACCTGCATCTGCCTCCCAAGTGCTGGGATTAAAGGTGTGTGCCACCACAGCCAGGTTTCATGCCTCGCTTTTTACATGAGTGATAAGGGTATGTATTCAGGTCCCCGTGCTTTCAGGACAAGTACTCTCATTCTGAGCACATCTCCAGGCCCATAAATTACCTCTTTCCTGCTGTTTGCGGTTCTCAATGATGCCTGGTGTATCTACAAAAGTGACTCGTTCTAGAAGTTTGTGGGGAACCTCAATGCCAATCAACTTCTCCAGAAAATTCTGGCCAAACTTTTCGAGGGGTGAGAATGATCGGGCGCTGTCAGCAGCCATGACGATGCCCTCAATGGTTTTCAGCTTGGGCCCATGCATAAGGACGGTGAACTCGGAGGTGGTAGGTTCAGCACCTGCATCCATGGTGAGAGGTAGAAAAGCAACCACTGAGAAACAGACGTCTGGAAGGGGTGTGCACAGGAAGACATCTTGGAAAGGACAGGACAGGTGTGCTAGGGTCCTGCCTTCTCACTTTCTGATTGTGCCAAAATATACAGAACATAGCGTTTACATTTTAATCTTTAAACCTATAGTCCAATAGCATTAAATATATTCACATTATCATGCAACCAGTTAGTTTTCCTCACTTTCCAAAACAGCTATCATCTTCCCACACTGAAACTCTGTTTCCATTAGGTAGTGACTCCCTTCTCCTTCCTTGGCAACCCCTATTCCTTCTCTGCCTCTGAGTTTGTCCTGTTGTGGCACCTCATGTGAGTAGAATCATACAGTGTCTGTGCTATTGTGCCTGGCTTCTTTTATTTAGCACATTTTCAAAGTTTATTCATACTGTGGCAAGGATGTATCCAATGTGTTCTGACAGCATACATGCCTCATTCCTGTCTGTGTTCGTGCGTGGTGTGTGCACATGCGTGTGTGCGTGCACGCATGTGTGCATGGGTGCTTGTGTATGTGCGTGCACACATGCGTGTATGTGTGTGCTCATGTGTGCGTGCACGCATGTGTGCATGGGTGCTTATGTGCATGCTCACACGTATGTAGGAGTGTGTGTGTGTGTATGTGTGTGTGTGTGTGTGTTGCACGTACCCTCCGTAGCACAAGGGTGGAAGTCAGAAGGCAGACAACTGTGGCTACTCTCACCTTCTTCTACCTTATCTCTTGTACACTCTGCACAGGCCAGGTTAGCTGGCCTCCAGGCTTTTGGGGCTTCTTCTATCTCCAATTCCAAACTCCCTATAGAGGTACTGCAATCACAGGCACATGTGTTACTCAGCTGGCCCTTTTTTTCTTCGGAGACAGGGTTTCTCTGTAGCTTTGGAGCCTTTGTAGACCAGGCTGACCTCGAACTCAGAGATCCACCTGCCTCTGCCTCCCGAGTGCCACCCCGCCTGGCCTCTACCTGGCTTTTTCTTGGATCCTAGGGACCCGATTTCAAATCATCAGGCTTGCAGAGCAAGCGCTTTACCCACTGCGCTGTGTCCTCGGTCATGCAGCGTCCCTCTCTCAGCTAGCGCTCCACCGGCTGCACAGGCAGCG